GAGGTGGCAAGAAGAGTAATAGTTAGGGCTCAGGCGTTGGTATACGACATGTTTGCAGATTCAATAATTAGGTTTTAGAGTAGAATCCGGTTAGAAAGGGAGTTCCTGTTAGTGCTAGGCTACCAACAATAAGTGAAGATGAGGTAAATGGAAGGGCCTTGAATAATCCTCCTATTTTTCGAATGTTTTGTTCGTCGTTTAGGTTATGAATAATTGATCCTGAGCATATGAATAGTATAGCTTTAAAGAATGCATGTGTACAAATATGAAGAAAAGCTAAGTGGGGTTGATTAATTCCAATAGTTACTATTATTAGTCCTAACTGGCTTGAAGTGGAGAATGCGATAATCTTTTTAATATCATTTTGGGTAAGGGCACAGATAGCGGTGAATAGAGTAGTAATAGCTCCTAAACAGAGAGTGAGTGTTTGGATACTCTTATTAGGTTCTATTAGCGGGTAAAAGCGGATAAGGAGGAAAACTCCTGCTACTACTATTGTACTGGAGTGAAGTAAAGCTGATACAGGGGCTGGACCTTCTATAGCAGAAGGTAATCAAGGATGAAGGCCGAACTGGGCAGATTTTCCTGTGGCGGCCAAGAGTGGTCTTGGTAGGGGAAGTAGGGCTACATCTATTATGAAGAGTTGTTGTAGTTCTCATGAGTTTGAGTTGAGTAAAAATTATGCTATAGCTAGAACAAATCCGATATCTCCGATTCGGTTATATAGGATGGCTTGGAGGGCTGCTGTATTAGCATCTTTTCAGCCGTATCATCAACCGATTAGTAAAAAAGATATAATACCTACTCCTTCTCAGCCAATGAATAGTTGAAATAGGTTGTTGGATGTAACTAGGATTATTATAGTGATAAGGAATAAGAGGAGATATTTGAAGAAACGGTTAATAAAGGGGTCAGAGTGCATGTATCATATTGAGAATTCTATGATTGATCATGTGACGAATAATGCTACGGGAATAAATAATATAGAAAAATAATCTAGTTTAAAGCTTATGGAAAGGGTGAATGTTTGAATAGTCATTCAGTGTCAGTTTGAGATAATGAGTTCATAATTTGAGTTAATAAACATTAGTGTTGGTACAATGCAGAGTGATAATGCACAAATAATAGAGATTTTTACGTAGTTTGGGTAATTAATGTGTTTATAGTGGTCAGTTATGGTGAGGAAAATAGGAAATGAAAGAGTTACAAGTGACGTGAGGATAAATGAAGAGAATATATTAATTACTTTTATTTGGAGTTGCACCAATTTTTTGGTTCCTAAGACCAACGGATTACTACTATCCTATAAAAGTTAAGAAAGCTGTGGATGTAATCACGGGGAGCATGAATTAGCAGTTCTTGCATGCTTTCTTGGTAAATAAGAGATTACGATTCTCTATTGTTAGATTCACAATCTAAAGTTTTGCTTAAACTATATTTACAGTATAAATGACCCAGAATGATGGTAGGGTTTGTTGATAGGATGGCAAGTGGAAAAAGATGAAGAAATATAGGTGTATTTTCTCGTGTGAAGGAAGGATTAATATGTAATGTATGGTATGTCAATTTTCCTCGTTGTGTTATAATTAGTATATATAATGAGTAAAGGGCTGTAATTGATATATTTAGTATGGTTAAGATAATTGTAACATTTGATCAAGTGAATGATGTGATAATAATGAATAATTCACCAATTAAGTTAATAGATGGTGGGAGAGCTAGATTGGTCAGGGTAGCTAGAACTCACCATCTTGCTATAAGGGGAAGAATAGCCTGTAAGCCTCGGGCTAGTGTTATAGTTCGACTATGAATCCATTCGTAATTAGTGTTTGCTAGACAGAATAATATAGAAGATGTTAATCCGTGGGCGATTATTAGTGCTGTAGCTCCTATAAAGCTTCAGGGGGTTTGAATCATAATTGCTACAATTACTAGTGCTATGTGACTTACTGACGAGTAAGCGATGAGGGATTTTAGGTCTGTTTGTCGTAAGCAGATTGAGCTTGTTATGATTATGCCTCATAATGATAGTATAATAAAGGGGTACGCTTTGTTACATGTGATAGGATGCAGTAAAGTTGAAATTCGGATTATCCCATATCCACCAAGTTTTAATAGGACAGCGGCTAAAACTATAGAACCAGCAATGGGAACTTCAACGTGGGCTTTTGGTAATCAAAGATGGAGACCGTATAGAGGTATTTTACTATAATACACGCTAATCATAGAATATCATTTGTTCAGGATATAGGAAGATCAGATGACTGATATATTGAAATAACAAAATTTAAAGATCTTGTAGATTTTTGAATATAAATTAATGCTACTAGTAAGGGTAAAGAACCTACCAGGGTATAAAATAGAAAATATAACCCTGCATTTAATCGTTCAGTCTGGTTTCCTCATCGAGTGATAATAATTAGTGTGGGGATTAAGGTGGCCTCAAATAGAATGTAAAATATAATTAATTCAGTAGCAGAGAAAGTTATAATTAAAAAGGATTGTAGTGAGATTAATATAAGAATATATAGCTTCTTTCAGATTAATGGTTCTTGGGTTAGGTGACTTTGGCTTGCTATAATTATGAGGGGAAGGAGTCATTCTGTTAGAATTAATAAAGGAGAGGATATAGGGTCAGTAAAGAAAGCTAGTGAAAAAATTAGATCTATATTTGTGGGACGATTTAATGTGAGGAGAACAATTAGGCTAATCATTAGACTATGAATGGAGGGATTAATTCAGATTATAGGAGGTTTTGAGAATCATACAAGGGGAGCGAGTAGGATTGTGGGAATAATAATTTTTAGCATTGAAGAATGTTTAAGTTTTGGACGTAGTCCAGGCCATATGTGTTAGATACTATCATGAGAAGGGCTAGACCTACAGCTGCTTCACATGCAGCAAATACTAGCAAAGTAATGGGAATTATAAATGATAAGGAGAAGTGGAAGTTTATAATTAGGAGGGAACATAAGACAAATATTGATAGTATTATACCCTCTAAGCATAGAAGTGATGATATTAGGTGCGATCGGTAGATAAATATTCCTAGTAGGGATGCAGAATAAGCTAAAATAGTGTTAAGAATAATAATAGGCATTTTGATAATTATGGTAATCCATAATTTAGTGAGTCGAAATCACTTGTTCTAATTTTAAACTAATTATCATATTCAATTCATTCTAAACCCTTTTGAATTCACTCCTAGGCTAACCCGAGGGTAAGAATTAAGATTAAGAGTAAGGCTATAGTTAATATAAGATTAAGATTGTTTGTTTGGGAGGCTCAGGGGAGGGGAAGAAGAAGAGCCTTTTCTAAGTCAAATAGAAGAAATGTAATTGCAACAAGGAAAAATTTTATTGAGAATGGTAGGCGAGCAGATCCTATGGGGTCAAAGCCACATTCGTAAGGGCTTGCCTTTTCAGCATATACGTTTACTTGGGGTAATCAAAATGCTACGGAGATTAATAGTAGAGCAATAGAAGAATTAACAAAGAGGGATACTATAAGGTTTATTATTCTCTTCTGGGTTAGTTCCAGAACTAATTGATTGGATGTCGGAGACCAGCTCCAACAGGGGGTCTCAGGAGATGAACGGATGGTGAGGAGTCCGCGAAAGAGGGGGTGGAGAAACAACACAGACACCAAAGTGAAGGTGTTGATCCCAATCTTTACTTGTGAAGTTGATCGTATATACTTTTCATTTTGGCACGCTTACAGTACTTTGTGGTTACAAAACAGGAATCATTATTCAAACAAAACAAAATATTATGTAGCTACAATTAGAATAGAAGAATGTGACTTGGCTTATGCATAAGCAAGCATTTGGACTTTCAGTTTGCGTTTTTCTTTGAGCTGTTCTGCTTAGTTAACTTTTAATAATAGTTACAAATGTCCCAAACTATTGGCCTATACCTTGACTATTCTTTCTTGACTTACTGACTGGAACCGGTGCCATGGTTACGGCAAGTAGTTGATTTGTTATTACTTTTAATCAAACAGGAGTAAGAGCACAAACCATTGTGCACAGGAACAAGAACAAGTTGCCCAGTCCTAAGCACTAATCTATCTTCTTAACATTAATTTTTCTTCTCTAGATTTTAATTTAATTTCTCAAAAACTTCCTTGACAGGAATACGGGGAGTTTTTCTTTAGACATTAACAATTTACACTCCACAGCTGAATCATTGCATTTAGAGCAGACAGATCTATGCTTTAGAAGTAGTTGGATTAATTGGGAAAGTCATGATTTTTCCTTTATACTTAAAGGTCATATGAGAAATCGCAACTATACTTATTAAAGGAATACAAAAACAAATCAGCCCATTCCCAGAAACATACTGCGCTCCTCCAGAAGATGGACGCCTTGCGCCATCCACCTCAGTAGGGCCTTGCCATTGCCTGAGTCAGGGGAGGGGCGCAGCAATTGGAAGTCAATTGTATTAATTAATACTAAGAGAATATGAGCCTCATCAATAAATAGGAATAGTCATACGACATCTACAAAATGTCAGTATCATGCGGCTGCTTCAAATCCAAAATGATGATTTGATGTAAAGTGAAAGTTTAGTTGACGAATGAGGCATACGAGGAGAAAGGTTGATCCAATAATGACGTGGAGACCATGGAGGCCTGTGGCTATAAAAAATGTGGAGCCGTATACACCATCTGAAATTGTAAAGGATGTTTCTAGGTATTCAGAGGCTTGGAGAAGGGTGAAGTAAAGTCCTAAAGCAATTGTAATTGATAGTGCTTGAACTATGTGTTTTCGGTCCCCTTCTATTAGGCTGTGATGAGCTCAAGTAATTGAGACTCCCGAAGCTAGAAGAACAGAGGTATTTAATAGTGGTACTTCTAAGGGGTTAAGTGGATTAATTCCTACTGGAGGTCAGCA